AAGGATCCAAAGTCACAGGTTGGGAATATTTTATATCCTAACTTTTCTCCTCAGAGGTCTCGGGAAGGTTACGTTCTTTCGCTTTGCAAGATAAAATAAACCGCAATCATAACAACCAATTTTCTAGAATATTAAATTTGTGGGGGATGTTTCATTGTAAGAATTTTAACATATTTTTTCCTGTTTCGTCGCTGTTACAAAGTTGAAGCAGAAGAGATTAGGCTTCAGTGGAAGCGTGATGCTGTTAGTGAGGTGGTAAGAAGGTTACTATTTTGAGGGGTCTAGTTTCATCTTATGTTCACTTTTTCTTGTTGAGCAAATTGATCGGCAAAGTTATCTGCCCTCCCCTGCCTTTAAGCACAAATAAACTTATAGTATACTAAGGTAATACAGCTGTGAAATATAATATTTTCCGCAGGGCTATCTTGAACTAGACTATTTTCACAAATAGAAAAACGACTATAGAGAGCAAAGAATTCATTGTACACTAAACGATGCTATAACACTCTGTGAGCGCAGCTATCACAGAATTGAAGTGCTAGTATAACCGAAACAATCAGTTTGATCTATAGTGTATTGTCGAAATGTATTCAGTAATTCTTCAATTACGACTTACCTTTTTTTCAGGAAACCCGTGGCTCATCAACCCATCCACCAGCACTAGTACTGATGACAATGACATTGGCCACCTCGTGGGCTCGCCTATTCGCCTTCATTTAACCTCCTCCTGTAACACCTGCCACACCACACTATTTATAAGCCGTGAATAGATGTAGACAGCATTCTAATGAACTAGTCATTAATTCAGAATTTGCACTACCATACAGATTTACCTTGATGAGCTTATCTCGGCATAATCGGTTTTTCTGTAATTTTCCGAATTTATACAGACCCAATTGTAACTGTGATACTCATAACTTTGATAGTAGTTTTTTTTCCAAATTAATAATGTTGTAAGACTGGTTTTGTATTAGACATTTTTAATTTTTAATTTTGTACAGTATCCGGGTTTTGAACGATCGGTGAGGTTGATTCACAGAACATTATAGACGTTATCGCTGGAGCATTGCGTTCTACCATTCCGATCCCGTATATACATACTAGTTTCACTTCTCTTATGTT